ATGGTAAAGAGAATGAATAGTTTGAAGGACCTGGAGGAACCCTACTTAGATTTCTTGATGGGAAAGCAACATAGAGAACCCATACCAAAGCATTCCAAATGGATAGTAGAAGAAAAGCTTAAGTTCATCCACTCATATGTGTGTGGACCTATCAAGCCTGCCTTAAATGTGGGAGCATGTATTTCATTACATTCACATATAACTTTTGTAAGAAAACATGGATTTATTTTCTTAATGAAAATGATGGTGTCTCTGATGTTTTCAAATAATGCAAAACATTAGCATAAAAAGAGCCAGGCCACTACATCAAATGTCTCAGGACAAATAGAGGAGGATAATTTTCATCAAATGCTTTTTCTGATTTCTGCAGTCTTCATGGAACCAAGAGGCAATTGACAATTGAATATACTCCATAACAAAATGAAGTATTAGAGAGAAAGAACATGAAATTGATGAATGTGATTAGAAGCATGATTTCATATAGAATAGTTCCTAAGAATTTTTGGCCCAAAGCAACTAAAAGAGAAACATATGTAATCAATAGGAGTCCAACATTATCTATTAAGAACATCTCCAGAAGAGGCATGAAGTGGTGTAAAGCCCTCAGCGCATCACTTCAAGGTGTTTGAGTGTATAGATTTTGTACACATTCTTGATGCGCACATGAAATGTCTAGATGTTAAGAGTACAAAGAGTGTTCTCTCGGGAGTTAGTGAAGAATCAAAGTCCTACAAAATATATGATCCTGTGAATGATAAGATTCTGATAAACTAGGATGTCATTTTTGAAAAATCAAAATGTTGGGAGTGGAACATGAATTACAAAGATGACAAGAGTCAATCATCAAACAATGTTGGTAGAGAAGAAGCAAACATTGAGAGTAATGAGGTTGAAGTGATTGATGATGGGGTGCATGTTAAAAATTAAGATTGTCAGCATGATGGAAGCAATGTAGAAAACTCAATTAAGAATAGTGCAACTGGAGAAGAAAAAAATGCTCAAAGGCAATAGCATATTGAGCCTGCAGTAAGGCAAAGAAGAAGTCCAGGGTACATAGATGACTATGTTACAAACTTTGATGGGGAAGAAGATGTGACGCTGCACAACTTAGCAGTGTTTTGTAACAACAATAATCCTTTCAATTATGATGAAGCAGTCAAGCATGAGAAATGGAGGAAAGATATGGGCTTAGAAATTGAAAGTATTGAGAAAAGTGATACCCAAAGTCTAGTCAATATACCGCCAAAAGCCAAGAAAGTTGGGGTCAAATGGATATACAACACAAAATGCAATGAAAGATGGGAAGTAGAGAAATACAAAGCAAAATGTGTGATTAAAATTTACTCACAACAACATGGCATAGATTATAATGGAGTTTTTCCCCCGTCGAAAAATGGGATACTATCAGGACTGTTCTTGCACTTGCAACATGCAAAGAGCGGCGGGTGTATCAACTTGATGTCAAGAGTGTATTCTTGCATGGTGAGTTAATGTAAGATGTTCATGTAGATCAACCCTCTGGCTATGAGAAAGGAGGAAAAGGAAAGGTTTAAAAGATTAAAAAGGCATTATGTGGCATTAGGCAGGCTCCAAGGGCCTAGTATAACTGAATTAAAGCATATTTTAATCAAAAGAATTTTGAAAAATTCTCTCATGAACATACATTATTTGTGAAGCATAATGAGGACATAATTTTGATAGTCAACTTGAATGTAAATGATTTAATATACACATGTAATAGTCAACAAATATTTGAAGGCTTTAAAGAATAAATGAAGAAGATGTTTGCAATGACATATATGGGGAAACTAAGATATTTCCTTGGGACGGGAGTAAAGCAAGCAAGTTTAGGAATCTTCTTCTTCCAACAAAAATATGTCAATGAAACTCATAAGATTTGGCATGGATCAATGCAATAAGGTTTATAATCCTATTGTGCCAGGTTGCAGGTTGACCAAGGATGAAAATGGCAAGCCAATTGATGCCACAACATACAAGAAGATGGTGGAAAGCTTAATGTATTTACTTGCTTCTATGCCCGATCTTGCCTATTTATTATGTTTGGTTGTTAGAAACATAGGGAAACCAACTGAAATTCATTTAGCAGCAACAAAAAGAATCTTTAGGTAACTAAAGGGAATTGTGAATCTTGGAGTCTTGTACAATATGAATTATGAGATGACATTGCAAGGGTGGTCGGACTCAGATTATGCAGGTGATAGTGATGACAGAAAAAGCACTACAGAATATGTGTTTAAGCTTGGATCGGGTTATATATCATGTTTTTCAAAGAAGAAACCCATTGCGACTCTTTCAAGCACTAAAGTTGAGCTTGTCGTAGTAGACTTACGTGCTTGTCAAGCACTGTGGCTTTGAATAATTCTTCATAAGTTTTATCAGACTTAGAGTCAAGTTACAGTTATCATGAGTGACAACAATTCTACAATGAAGTTGTCAAAGAACCCTGTCATGCATAGAAGATGCAAACACATAGATGTAGGGTTTCACTTTCTTAGAGAATTAACCAAAGATGGAACCATTGGTGAATCATTATAGCATAGGAGAGCAACTTGCAAATATGTTAACAAATCCATTGAAGCTCGAATCTTTCAACTACATGAGAACAATAATTGCAGTTTGTGTCATTTTAGTTTTTGTAGTCAATGTGTATTAATCTGATAGTTCTATCATGTTTTAATCTGTTTCTTCGTTAATTTTCAGATTAGGTGAGTGTATCTTATGAATATGATTGGTCAATAAAATAACTAACTAGGAGTTAGTTATGAGAAAGTTAACTATGAGTGTGATTACTTGTATATAAGTAATCGACCATACATGTAAATTAGAAGTTATGCCATGCAACCTAAGATGAAATGATATATTCCCATACTCTTATGGTGTTTATGTCGTTTATCTAAATCTCTGATTTAGACGATAATTACAAAGTCTTTGATAATTTATTTTATTAAAACTAGTAACGGTAAAACATAATACACTAACTTTTTTAAAAATAATATTTTCTAGTAAATTGATATATCTACTAGAAATAAGAGTATTCATGTGAAAAAAAATACACACTTTAACACTGCCCAAATGATAACTTTCTTAAGGCTAAGATTGCATGGTCTCCTAGCTACATTTAGAGGAGCATCCTTATGCTAGATGGATTTTAAAGAAAGATTGTTGTTGCTAAAACTTGAAGAGTATGGAAGGATAATTGGTTATTGGAGGGAAACAAATATTAGGACTTTGTTATTTATGCCATTATTTTTGACCAATGAACATGCTGGCTTTAAATAAAAAGTCCAATATTAAATCTTCATGAAAATGATCAAATTACGTATATCACTAAAAGACATGGGACTTATAGTATAACATCGTCAAATTATAAAATCAAATGTCATGAGAAACAAAATAGAGCAACTAATTCCAAAAAAAAAAAATACAATCTAAAAAGTTTCAGGAATGCTATGTTGACACCATTTTCTACATCCTACACCCAATTCACTGTTCACAAATACTTGAACAAATTCCTCAGAACATGGTTAATAGTGTGTATTTTATTGGTTAATGAAATAGTGAAAGTGGTTAATAAATTATAGGTAAAATAATTGGTTAATAATATAGATTTTTGTGGTTAATGCAACTGTGAAGTTGGTTAATGCGCAATCTTATATTTGTGTTATAAAATAAATTTTAAAAATAAATATTTTTTTTAAAAAAATTAATATTTTAAAAAATATATATTATTTTAATTAAAAAGCAATGTTCATCGTATAAATACGATGAACAGTAAATACAGTGTAAGTATTGGATGTAAAAAAAGGTGTAAGAATAGCATTTTTGAAAAAGTTTTGGGGGTGGTTGTTATAGAAAACAAAAGTTACTCTTAGACCAAAAAACTTGAATAAGAAAAATTATTTAAATGATTATTCCTTTTAAAGACGATATTATCATAAGAGACATCAACTCCCATCCTTTTTGTCTTAATTTCAACTCTTGCATTAAAATAGTTTATCATTGTTTTAAGATGTGTGACAATGTAGTTCTAATTTGGTTTGATTCTCCGGTTAATGTTAGTTTCAATTTTTGTCTGAGTTAAAATTTAAGCATAATTTATTCATAAGTCCTTTAACTTTAAGTGAAGTTTCGCTTTACATTCTGAATTAAAAAACATTATACAATGGTTTCTTAATTTCGTTATCGTTAAACTATTTAGTTTATTCCGTTAGTTTGGGTGAAAAACATTAACTATAGCTAAGGTGACATGTCAGGTATGCAATTAGTATAGTGAACATTAAGTTAAATAGTCAACACTTTACACAACGAAATTTATTTATTTTATCACAACCACTCATTTCTTCTTCTACAAAATAAAATTTCATTCTTCTTCCTTTGTTATTCTCTAACTACAACCATCACCGATGAAGTGATTTTTCTAGATTTTTGGCCAAGTCTGTTTGGGATAAGGCTCGAAATAGCCCTTGCTGAAAAGGGTAGTAAGTATAAGTATAAAGATGAAGATTTTATAAATAAAAACCCTTTGTTGTTATAGATGAACCCTATTCATAAGAAAATTCTTATTCTCATTCACAATTGACAAACCCATTTGTGAATCTCTTATTTCTCTTCAAATTATTGACGAGGTTTGAAAAATCTTAGAAAAACTATTGGAAAATATCCACTTTTGAAAAATACTCATTTTTGTGAATATCTCATGGCTGAAACACACCCACTTTAGGAAAATCTTAGAAAACTATTTATGACATTCTTATTATGTTTTACCGTTTTTCTAATTTATTATGGTGAAGTTATAAAAATAATTTATTTATCTTTTACACTTTCATTGTGAATTAGATCTATGAAAATGGAGAAGGACCTTCATTGTGAATTAGATCTATGGTGAAGGAACCTTTTGACATAAAAAAGGAGAAGAGCTAGAAGTTAAAAAGAAGGAATTCATAGAAGTCCTCAAACGGTTGGAGCAATAATTAGGAGACATGAGTTATTTTGGAGGAGACAAGCTTGGTTTTGTGAAAATTGCACTTATTCCATTATATGCTTGGTTTAAAGGGTATGAGACATTTGGTAAACTCAATATAAAGAAGGATTATCCCAAATTCATTGGATGGACTAAGAGATGTATCAAGATTGAGAGCATTTCAAAGCCTATTCCTGATCAGGATAAGATCTATCAGTTCATTGTGGAGATGAGGAAGAAGATAAACATTAAGTAGGTTGGGTATTACACATTAATAACGGGTAAAATAATGGAAAAATTGTTTTTCAACTCATAAAGTAGAGTGCTCATACACTAAGAAGTTACTTTTACAACATAAGGATTTTTCATAACTCTGCATGCATAACGGTAACAGTAAAAAAGTATGATCGCTGTTCAGGCTAGTTTAAACTCCTAGTCCTTGAACTAGGGACCTTCTCAATCTTCTCTGTGTTGTTGGTCGTGGTGTGAAAATCGTCTTTGCTAGGATTTGTGATGGGTGAGAAAGATAAGAATTGGGTGGAAGTTAGATGTAGGAAAAGTAACTTCTCATGAATAAAAGGATCGATCTATGTTAAAAGAAATGGAAAAGCGATTGGAGGGGAGGAAGTGATTACCTCTTTTTTATTTACTAACTTTCCTAATGCTATGGGGCTAAGGGCATGTTTGGCGTCTTTAAGGATTATAGGCTGATCTTGGAGGTCTACATTCCAGCGATGATGGACAAAAGGGGTATGAGGCATGGTTTCGTTCGGTTTAGAAAAGTTATAGATGCTAGAATTATGGCTGTCAAACTGAATAGCATCCAAATTCTTGGTAAAAAGATATATGCCGACATACAAAGGTTTAAATGTGGTAGGGATACAGTGAAATCCAATGCAGTAAATAATGGTCTGGTGGGTCGTGATAAGGGTGATAAGAAGCACACTAAAGGTTGGAATAATAGAGCTCATGGCAAATCGTTCGCCTAGGTGGTTGGCAACAAGCAAGTTGGTGATGACGTGAGAGTGGGTAGGGAGGAAAAGCCAAGCTTTTCCCATCTTTAGTACAATTTTGATGATTGTGAGATGGAGATATTTAGGAAAGCATCCGTTGGTGTTGTGAAAAACGCTGGTGAAACATATAATATCCAAGAAGCCTTGAATTCTAAAGGCTATTTCATGATTAAAGCGACTCCTCTAGGAGCAAATTTGTGTTTGTTGAAAGAAGAAACAAATGGTGACGTTAGCTTTATGGTTAGGGAAGATGAAATGTGGGTGAAATAGTGGTTTGATGACATTCATCCATGGACCCCTTTGGATATTGATAATGAAAGACTAACATGGTTGAAGTACTTTGGATTTCCTTTCCATGCGTGGGTGTGGTTGTGTCAGAGAATTCATAGAGTGTGATGTTGAAACAGAGAAACACAAAGACCCTTGATGTTGAAACAAAGAAATAGAGCTTTAACTTATATTTGATTTATTGGGAAATGTACGCCCTTTGAGGTGATTTTTATTGAGTTTAATATTTTACTCTGATAAATGTGAATATTTTTCCTTTTATTTTGTGGGGTATAAAAGAGTGTTACAATTATCGATCCCAAAAAGGTTATCGTTGTTATTCACATACTCTACAACGATACCTCATATCGGCCGATGTTACCTTCTTCGAGTCTGTTCCATATTTCGAGTCCAACCAAGCAACTCTGAAACCCCTTCAGGAAAGTATTCCCACACCTCTTCTGGAAGTCACATCTACCATTGTCCCCCATCATTCTAGGGAACCTAGCTCACTAGATAGGCCTACAATTGACCCCTCCCCCCACGTCTCGCCCACTTCAAACATATCAGCATCGTCAACCAATTTCTGCCATACCTGTTCCTGAGGTCGTATATGTTCTTGAGGTCATACCTGTTCCTGAGGTTGTAGCTATCCCTGAGGTCATTGCATACTCTTCTCCGACACTCTCAACATCACCGGATCCTATCCTTCCACCTGAGTTCGATCTTCCGATTTCCCTACAAAAAGGTATACGTCAAACACAAAATCCTTCTCCATATTATATTGATTTATGTTATCATCTTCTTTCTCCTTTGCAGTATACTTGTTTGTCTTCTTTATCTTCTGTTTCTATTCTTCAAAATCTAGGTGAAGCATTACCTCACCCCGAATGGAGATGTCATACCCCAAATTTGACCCTTAGATTCTTTGATCTCTTGCATATTATTCTAGGTCAATCATCTTTGTTAGTTCCTGATTCGCAGGCATTTTGGTAAAACTTGGTGTAATCACAAGATGTCCTACAGGATGTTGTGACATGTGGTTTTAAGGTTTTGCAGGAAGCTCTGTCTGTTGTAGCAGAACTTAGGTCATGATGTTTTCAAATGGATCTATTTTTAGAAGATTATCTTGGAGATATGAAGAGTGGTTTGATTGAATCTGATTTGATAAAATCAAATCTGTTTCATTGATGCGATTAATGTAAATTGATCTCCTCACAATCTGCTGTTACTTTTGCCTCACCCCAAGCCCGTCCTTGGATTTCTATTTAAGGATTTTCAACCCTAGCTTTCAGAATAGAGAAGCTAGGTTTAAGAGTGTGCAATCATGTAAGGCTTAGTGCTCTAGCTTTCGTGCATTTTGTGTTAGGTTGTGAGCCATTCACTCATTGTCTCAATGTGTGAATTAGACTAAGTTCTGTGTTGTACGTTGTTCACTCAACGCTTGTAAGCTAGAGTGCATTGTACATGATTGAAGCTTTTAAACAAGATCAAGTTGTGTCTTTGAAGAGTGTCTTCTAAAGTCTTAATTTGTTGTTTGTTATCACTGCTGTGATTGAGGAGGAGTGAGAGGTGTCTCTTATCTAGGTGTGTCCTAGGTAGAAATTGCAAGGATAGAGATTAGGTGAGAAGATGGTAAACTAGAGAGAGTCTATTGTATATCTTCAAACTAATTCTACTTAGTGGATTTATTTCCTGACTTGGTAGCCCCCAGACGTAGGTGTGCTTTCACCGAACTGAGTTAACACTTGCATGTGTCGTTTTATGTCTGTTATATGTTTGTCTTTGTTCTTATTGATGATTGAACAGATATTAGTGTCGTAACATCGCCTTCAATATATGGTATCTAATACCAGAATTTCAATCTTGCGTAATATCTCAATTTATCAGTCAGAATAAAATTATTGGAAATACAGCCGAATTGGTCAAAACTGAAGGTCAACTGTGCGTAAAATCAGTGATTGAAAAGTTTCAAATTTAAGCTTGCGGAAGTCAGTAATATTGATCTATTGTTCAAGAAGTTTAACTCGATGCGCTCGTTTTTCTTGCCGGCTTTTTAGTCACATTTTAATCTATCTGATCATTTTTACCAGTCCCGACTAATTTCAAAATTGGACGAAATGTTATATTTTTTTCGAGTTGGTTTATCCCGCGCTGATAATTTTAGTGCAAGTCATTTATCATTTTTGGGAACTTCGGTACCCGTTTCTTTTTTACTTTTTTATTCATTTATATTTGTTTTTTTAGTAAAATAATCTTTCAATTAATTCGAAAATTAATTTAGATTTACTTGGTTAATTAGATTTTTTATTTTAGTTTTTTTAAATTATTTTTTATCTATTCTTTGAAATTTTTATTTCTGTCAATTCTTTGACAATGTGTTCCGAGTTCAGGTTGTGTACCTTTGGATGTCTTTTGATGAATGGTCTTTTTGTCAATTCTTTGCCAATGTGTTCCGAGTTCAGGTTGTGTACCTTCAGATATGTTTTCATGATTGGTCTTCCTGTCAATTCTTTGACAATGTGTTCCAAGTTCAGGTTGTGTACCTTCAAATATCTTTTGATGATTGGTATTTCTGTCAATTCTTTGACAAAGTGCTCCGAGTTAGGTTGTGTACCTCAGGATATTTTATGGTTTCTCTCTGTCAATTCTGCTTGACAATGTGTTCTAAGTTCAGATTGTGTACCTTCGGATATTTTATTGGTTTCTTTCTGTCAATTCTTTGACAAAGTGATAATGATTGGTGAATGGTTTATTTCTGTCAACTCTTTGACGATGTGTTCCAAGCTCAGGTTGTGTACCTTCGGATATCTTTTGGTGTTTCTTTCTGTCAATTCTTTGACAAAGTGCTCCGAGTTTAGGTTGTGTACCTTTGGATATATTTTGGTGTTTCTCTCTGCCAATCCTTTGAAGATATGTTTCGAGCTCAGGTTGTGTACCTTCGGACATGTTTTTGTTGTTTTGTTTATTCATCCCTTCATGAAGACTCTCAAGTTTATGTTATCTTTTCGTTAATTCTTTGATGATACCACTCATTTATGAAGTTTTTCCTTCCCTAGTGGAGATTGTGTTTACGATTCAACCTTCATTAAGGATCTTTTTGATCTAGAATATCATCTGGTCACGCTTGAACTTGATGATCAATCATTCTAGATACCTTTATTGGAGCCCATCTTTTGGTTCTACTTCCAATGCGGTTGCTTTATCTTTTGTCCTAGAGTGTCAGCCAGTCATTGCTTGAACTTTTTGATCCACTACTCTGGATATTCCCTCAATGGAAACCATCTCTTGGCTCTACCTCCCGTGAGGATCCCTTTCTTCTAAAGTATCTATCAGTCATGTTTGAACCAGTTGCTCAACCACTTTAGATTTCCCCAGTTGGTTTCAGCTTCCCCAGTGTTGCTATCTTTCCCTAGTGAGTGGTTACTCATTGTGTAGGCGTTCCCTGTTTGATTTCGTTTTTGTCTACATTTTGCATTTTTATCATTCCATCATTTTCATCATACTAGAGTTCATTGCATGTCAGCATTGCATAGTTTTTTTTGTCCATAACATAGCATGTCATTTCATCTAAGGGAAAAAATTATGGTTATCTATATTTAAATACCCTCTACCATTATTTAATGAGGATTTTCATCACTCCTTTCATCCGGTGAGGATATTTAAATAAGGGCAACTGTCATACCCCAAATTTGACCCTTAGATTCTTTAATCTTTTGCATATCATTCTAGGTCAATCATCTTGCATAATATCCCAATTTATCAGAATAAAATTATCGAAAATACAACCAAATTGGTCAAAACTGAAGGTCAACTGTGCGTAAAATCAGTGATCGAAAAGTTTTAAATTTAAGCTTGCGGAAGTCAGTAATATTGATATACTATTCACGAAGTTTGACCCGATGCGCTCGTTTTTCTTGCTGGCTTTTTAGTCACATTTTAATCCATCTGATCATTTTTACCAGTCCCGACTAAT